ACATTTATAAACCTTTCTTCGACTTAAAGACTACTACACTTAATTTACTTATTCCCACAGCTGGTGTTACACCAGTTCACAAACTACCTGCTTACTTTTGTAAGCTAACCATGCTGTTTGGAAATAAATTGGCTATGAAACTGTGTGGTAAACATGACGTGTGTAGTCTGTTTTCAGACTCATTATTCACTCTGCAGCAACAAGGGCTGCTGTAAGGCAGTGATTTAGAGTGCTGAAGGTAGCAGTTCCAACGAGAGGGATGTACTCCTGTTTGCTGGTTTTGCTCTGTGTGTGCTGCAGTGCTTAAAAAGTCTTGCAAAAGGATGCAGTTTACAACACAGTGTTTCTTTTTTTTTTTCTTCTTTAAATCTGCTGGCCTGTGCTCTGAGTTGCACTGGTTGCCGCAGCAGGAGTACCAGGAGTTCCCCCTGTAGAGCCTGGCTGTTCCCAGGGCTCCCTCCGTTCGGCTGCCATGGGGTACCAGAACCTGAAGCAGCCATGTGAAAGGTTAGTGGAACTGAACCCTTCTTCCAACAGAGGCACTTGTACTGTTAACAGAGCCCAAAGCCAGAGCCTGATAAATCAATCAGTCCCCATTTTGTCGACTGTTTCAGAGCAAAATTCAAGAAGCTGAAGTTGTGCCAGCTAAAGAAAACAGAAAGGAACAGAAACTCTGACAGGTTAAATGTGAAAAACAGAAACTCAGGCCAAGAAAGTTTGAGAAACAAATCATAAGAAGCATAAAAGCTAATAATAAATTCTTTTTCAGACACACCGAGAGCAGGAAAACTGCCAAGCAGTCTGCAAAGCCAACAGACAAACAAGGTATAAAAATAGAGCTTAAAAAAGATAAAATCACTGTAGAAGATTAAGTGATTGTTCTTTATCTGCATTTGCTAGAGAAACTTCAAGAGATTCTCATAGTGGAATTAAAAAAAAAGAAAAAGAAAGAAGAAAAAAAACCAAAAAAAAAACCTACTTGGGAGGAGATGTCTAAATTGAAGTGCCAGCAGGAGAGGCTGTAGAACAAATCAAGAAAACGAAGAATAACAATTTGTCAGAACTCACTTGACATTTAGAAATTGTTGTTAACTGAATTAAATATGACAGTATGTAACAGCTGAATTATTTATCTGAAGTGCAATATCTCGCAAAATTGCCTCAGTGCTAGAAGAACAGAATGTACCAAATACAGTACCGTATTTTATAGTTTTTCATATAATGGTTAATAAAATACAGAATGCTAAATCCAATTTATTAGGAAATCAGTAGCCCTGCACAGGAGACTTAGTGTTGATCTTTTAGGCATAGATTTTCTATGAGACTATCCTTAAGAACTACATATCTCAGAAAACTAGCTCTGCTTCGTGGTATACGGATTTAGTCTTACATTTACTCACTCCATGCAATTGAAAGTGGCTCCAGCCAACTCCTAACTGGCACATGTAAATAGCAAACATGATTTTTTTTCAGCAAAACTTGGGAATTTGTGTATAATAGTTGCCACTTCTTTCTAAGTTTATAATTTCAGCTACAGCCTTTGTAGCCACCCTTGGTAACCCCAGAAAGGGACCATGGAATGGGCACTGAAGCTGAGTTAGGTGTGGCTGAAACTCCGAGGGGTCTTCGCACTGGAACATGGAGGGAACCATTACGAGTTCTGCTGAGATACCTTTAGAAGGCTAAGGAGGGGGAAAGAAAGAAGGAATTACCCAAGAAGGTAAGTCAAACTCCTTTTTTCTCAGCGTTAAGCCCATTGCCTCTCCTCTGCACTCTATTTTTGGCAGCAGACAGATGCATCAGTACCCTGGGTAACTGGGGGACTTGGTGCTAAGCACAAAGACCGCGTCACTGAGATAGAGTACGTAACCTTCTTCCTGTGAGTCACAGGCTCAATTATGTCTCAGTTTGGCCTCTCACCAGTTTCCTTCATAGCTCCACAACTGGAGGGTTGGCCCTTCCGGTTTTGATCAATTGCAGTGATTTCTGATGTTTCCCTATTCCATTTCAGTTTCAAATGAAAATCTTTTCTCTCACGAAGTAGACTGCCTAGTCACATTTGGCCAGGGCAGTGCAAACTTCAGGTTGCCTGCAAAGCATCTGACTATTAAAGCATCAGTACCATCACATCCAGAACGCAGCAGGCTCACTGAATCCCCAGCCCTGCCTACTTGGCAGGTTCCAGGAAGCACACCATAGTCACTGTTCTGTTCGGAGTCCAGGAGGGACAGAGGTACCACCTGCAAGACCTTTGCCTGCAGTGGCACTCTGCAGGTCCTTCCTCCTGAGCACTCTGCAGACAATGTGCTATTCAGTCTGCATTTGGGTCCAGATAGATCTGGCAAGCCTAGTTATGACTCATTCATTTTCTTTAGAATCCCATACTCCTCAAATTTTTGTAGTTTCATAATAAGCCTCCTCTAAGTTAGCTGAAAACTGTTAAACACATCTGTTCCTGCTCCTATTGTCAAAAATAAGGCAGTCTTCTGTTTGCCTTCATTTTTATTGGCACCCACTACTTGAGCACAGAGCAACGTGCAGTCTAAATATTTTCCAATTCTACTTCCAGAAAAAGTTTCAGTTTTGATGACTATTTTTCAGTACTCCAGTCTACCATTCAAGCCACTTTCTTTACTGTATTTTTCCTCCTGCTACAATCTAGTGTTGGAGCCATGGCACAGCCTGTAAACCAAAACCTATGGATGAACGAGAAATCAACTTGGTGATTTGCTTGTAATTCTGAAAACACCCTTCTACTACAAACAAAAGCATTGCTGAAGTACTTTAATACCTTATAGCAATAGAGAAAACTGCTGCAGGAGATGGGAAAACATTTTAAGATAAAGGTTAATTGTGCAACCAACATTTCACGTGGTTGGCTTCCCCCATGACAAGCTGAAATCTGAATCCCTTTTTTCCCTTCCTTTGTAGTTTCTTGGACACCTGCACCCAACACTGTTTGGGATCACTCTCATGGTCTTTACTTATTCTGAGAAAGTGACCTCATCACTCTCTACAACTGCCTGAAAGGAGGTTGTAGGCAAGTGGGTGCTGGCCTCTTCTCCCAGGCAACTAGCAACAGGACAACAGGAAATGGCCTCAGCCTGTGCCAGAGGAGGTTTAGGTTGGACATCAGGAGGAATTTCTTCACATAATGGGTTGTTAAACATTGGAATGGACTGCCCAGGGAGGTGGTGGAGTCACCATCCTTGGAGTTGTTCAAGAAATGACTGGATGTGGCACTTAGTGCCATGGTCAAGTTGGACTTGATGATCTCAGGTCTTTTCAACCTAATTGACTCTGTGAAATAATGTTTGCATTATACATGCTCCCATTTAGGAGCTAATATTCTTCTCCAACTCCTCTGATTTGCTCAAAACTGCTACTACCTCTTATTACTCTATTTACATCCAGTTGGCACTTTGTTGCTTAGGTTAAATATATTTTTACTGATAACACTACACAACGTTCAGAAACTCATGGATTCAGGGTATACAAGTTGTGTAAATCAGGGTACCTTTATGTAGTTCTATAAATCCAGCTGCCTCTGACAAAGTTAAAATGGGCTTCTGACTCTCTAGGCAGCCTCAAAAGGTCAAATTTTTTAAACCTTAGCATGTCCTTAGTTCCCTGCTCCCTCATTTACAACAATTTGGATTTGAAAAATTATAACTCTTCACTTTCTGCTCTCAGAGGGTTGTGTTTAACAGCATTTCCCATTCTAGGGAGTCAGGAGCTACCACTGGTCTGCTTTTACTAGCTCAAAATAAACTATCTGACTTTGCCCGCCTGATAGAGCTGCCTTCATAGAAAGTTGCCACGCGACAAAATATGCACCACTTGGAGTGTGTTACACGCTTCCTTCTTCTAATCCCTTGGACCATTCTGTCAACAAACATTAGATATTAAGTAGCTGTACCACACTGCTGGGTACTAGTTACTATTCCATAAATTATATGAAATTAATAGTTCCTAGATGCCTCAAATCTGTAACCTGGTCATGCTGCAGTTCAATCCACCTTGCATGACCACCTGGAAATTCACTGGGGGGCAATGCAGGCAGCATCTAATGTTGAAAATGAAAACCTTAGGGTTAACCACACAGTCCTGTCAGGATTACCTTTACCTTCATGATACTGGCTGGTATTCAAACAGTATCCAGGCAGCTCTCTGAGAAGTTTGGCTTCCTCTACACTAGGGGAGACAGAACAGCATTCTAGGCTGTTGGTCAGACTTGCTCACTTATTTAACAAACACAAAAAATAGGTATAAATAGTTTGTTTCCTTGATACTATTGATCTGTAGTCTGTCAGCTGCAATGCCACATGTGACAGGGATTCTGAACTCTGTCAATCATTGCCAAAAACCTCTAATATAGTTGACCATGACTCATATATTTTTCCACTTTTCCCACAGATTGTTATTTTTTAAATGGTTCCCTCATTAAAGCAAATGGTTAATTTCAAGTATTAAAAACTAGATTGAGCTATGGTGAAATATGATTTCTAGTGCGTTCCCTGTCAAACACTGCACACAATTGCTTTCAGTCATTCTTTAATACAATTCCCATCTGGTACACATGCAAAACTCTCTGCTGCTGACAATATCAGCAGCCATATGAAGCACCAAGACTAAACTGCAGCCCTGCCTCCTCAGTAACAAGAATGGTCTTCTCAGAGCCTGAGGCATAGTCAGGGCTGTTAAAAAGTGAATATTGAGTATGTAGATGTATTTCTCTGGGGATAAGAAGAAGACCACAGCCTGTCTCACGCACTTCAGCAGGGGCAAATGTACTGACAAAAGCAAAGCTGAGGAGCTTTTGATGCAAGACATACAGTATTTTATTTATTTAATTACTGCTGTTACAGGAAGACAATCCTGACTTTGCACACACTAAACAATTTTAGGAATTTTTTATTTTGTCAGGATTCTCACAAATGGCAAAGTACATTCAGAAAGACATTTTCTAGACTTGGTGGCAAAGAACACCTTTTTTTGGGGGGGAAAAAAACCCTTCAAATTTTCTGCTGTCAGATGCACATTTTAGTTAGAGTTCAGTAAAGGAGTGTGAATGCTGGCAAATATATTTCATCTTCTCCCTCGCAGGAAGTGAGCACTATCTCTGTGTTTCAGTAGATTAGGTTGAAGTTTAACTCACACAATAACCATACAGTCCCTAAAATACACACGTGATTGATCTACTCAAATACATGCCCTGTATGAACATTATAGCAGGGTTTCACTCCTGTGTGCTGTCCCACTTGACAGTTTGAGTCGTTTTCATGTCTTAGTGAAACATCAACTCCTCTGTATTCACTGACTCTGCATGTACTTGCCAATGAACCACAAAAATACCCAAGACTATTCGGGAATATATTCCACAGATGTTCCTTCAGAGCAGAGACTGTAAGCCCCAAGATCAGCTGGGTCTTGCCAAAGCAAAACTGGATATCACAGTGATAGGACAAGGGGTAATGGCTCTAAACTAAAACAGGGTAGGGTTAGGTTAGATATTAGAAATAAATTTTTGCCTGTGAGGGTAGTGAGACATCGGAACAGACCGCCCAGAGAAGCTGTGGCTGCCCCATCCCTCGAAGTATTCAAGGCTGAGTTGGATAGGACTTTGGCACCCTGGTCTGGTAGAAGGTTTCCCTGCCCCTGGCAGAAGGTCGGAACAAGATGATCTTTAAAGGTCTCTTCCAACTTAAACCATTCTGATTCCATGAAAATACACTGAACTAGAAGCTGAACACAGAAGACTAAGGACTTCTGTGTACACACAAGTTTCCTTCCTGGGTATATTCCAGCTGCCTGGGCATTAGAACCACAATCCAAGATTGTACAGGTTTTAGGATCATAGGAAAAAAAAAGATACATTAATACCCTCATTTCTACATAATTCAAAGGGCAATAGTTCTAATTTGATAGCAGATTGATGGTTTGAGGAAGACTAGCTCTGTGCAATATGATCCAAAGTCTGTCAGTCACTTCAGAAAATGGCCAAATTGTGTCTCCCAGTAGAAATCAAAACACAAGGATGTGAAGGATTCTTTCTCCATGATCTTAGATAAGGATAAGCTCAAGCCACAGCTTCTATTTTTGAAAACAAAGCTGCAGCCTTGTGTTTTGAGTTGAGAAAATTATTCTTGAACTTTCATATGATAATATGGCAATAAAACCATCAAAACCATAAGTAAGAAGATATTAATTAACTGAAAAGCTTTCATGAGGTATGTGATACTGTGAAATACTTACAAGGCAATAATCTTCCATTCGGTCTCTTCCACTTAGCCATCAGTCACTCCTATGCATAGTCCAAGTCGCCTGCCTTACTATTAACTATTTATGGAAAATGGGTCAAGCATAAAAATAAGAAACAATAATAAAATGCAGGCTGGAGAGCGGCATTAGGTAAAAAAGTGTTATTTGTCCACTGGTCACTATAATGTATTACATTATATCACTGTGACTAACTGGTTTAATGCAGCAGAGTTTAATTAAAAACAAAATAAAAAACCATAAACCCCCAAACCACACGCTGTACATTCTTCTACAGTAACAATTAGACCAACCAGTTACTTCCTTCTCTTTGCACATAATGCAGGATAAGCAAAGAACAGCAAAAAAAAAGGAAGTCTAAAGAGAAGAACAGAAAATCCTAACCCTCATTTTCCTCCCTTATATCAAGTTTGCAAAATGAATCCCTGCACTAGAATTCTGTTACCTTACCACTAAAGATAACTGACAGCTTGTTAGACCAAAACTAGGAGGACCAGACACTTTTTCTTCCCCTTGCAAAAGCAATAGGAAAGAGAATAACAAAAATCTTCAACTACTGCACCTTGCTCATAAATTCCAGATAATGTTTTCCTTGTGCTGCTGTGTGAAAGGCCCACACAATTAACAGGACAGACTATATGAGTCACATATGTACATGTGGGAAACCGGTAAAGCAAATATATACAGAACAGTTATCAAGCACAAAGTAAGCACAAAAGAAAAATTAGAGGAAAAAATATATCCACTAATCTTTCAATCAAAACAAAGCTTGAAGGTTTATAATGGTCTGTGAAACATTTTAAGAAAGAAGTACTGCCTAGAACACAGAGGCCAGCTGATTTCTAACAAAGCAACAAACTCCACCAATGTAACTGCAGAATAAGCCTTAGAACAGAAACCTCTAAGCCCTGGGGATTTCCTCCGCAGTTCAACAGACCTCACCTCCTAGGACTTGAGGACTGAAGCCTCTTGTGTATCTCCTGTAGAGGATTTTCTTCTCCCTGAAGAAGCTTATGAGGAACTCTGAATTTCTTCTGTACTTTGCTTAGCATTAGATTTCCCTCTCCAAACTCATAGCTTCTTGTATAAATGGAAGGGATTTACAGCATGCAGAAACAAATGGTCTTACTATGTTTTCTTTATTGGCATTTATAAAGCTTCCTGAAAGAGAAATGTGTACACATTAGGCTCTCTGCAGTTAAAAGAAAAAAAATTGAGCAAAAAAAGAACTGCTTAGTTAGTATACCCAGAGAATAGTGAGCAGCATGACTCCATTTCTAATTTATAACATGTAAGTCACATAATTTTTAAAAACTAAACATTTCCTTCTGCTTTGGCTCACCAAAAGGCAATTTTATTGTGAAGCAGCTATATATCATTAAACAGACATGACTACAACAACAAGAGAGATTGCACAGAAGCCATCTGATTTCACTTTTAAAATTGCTACAGGAAAAAAAAGGTACCTATGCCAGCCCAGTTTAAACAAAGATGTACATTTGAAGTACTCAATTGCAATGCTCTCAGCTGAGGTAATTTTAAATTCTCATTACATTTATTACATAATGCAGAATTTACTTTGGTAAATGTGTGGCTGCTACCCTTTTGGAAATCAAACTGCCAAACTGTCCATAATGGAGTAAAAAATTTAAAAATCAAAATCCAGTATGGTCAATCCACTTAAAAATCTGCGTAAGTCTTCCATGAAACATTACTATACCAGAGAAAAGGGACTCAAACAGCTCTTAAATACAATAATTAAAAAAAACTTTGCTAGGTTTCAAGGCAACAGAAGGAATTCACTATTTGACCTCTATATAAATAAATGCAAAGATTTCTTGCATTTTGTTGATTCTGTACAAGTTTCAGTAATTAGTTTTATTTAAATATAACTCTTACAACAATTTAACGCAAGATCTTAAATGAAAATGAAGAAGATTGACAGTTCTAATATAGAACTTCCACAACAGTTATCTTAACACTGACTAACAAGGAATGGTATATAAAAGATTTAGAAATTACACATTTTAAACTGAAGATGTTTTATCTCAGACTCACTATGAAGGTGACTTTTATCTGTTAGTATGTAACTTCACTCTTCACCTGCCAAAGTGTACAAGTTATCACAGCAAAATTTACAGAATAATTGCCTTTGGCCTTGGTCTTACAAAGACCTATTTACACATTTGAGACAGGCAAGCATCTTCTTCCCTTTTAATTCTATACATGTGTTCAAGCTTTAAGCCTATACTGGAATCTACAAAGTCTTGTGACATAAAAAGTCTCTCATATATACACCTTGGACCACTGGAGTACAGTGACTTTATATATGTGAACTATCTTTTGCTAAATCACCCACTCCTCATCACATGCGTATCTCATGAAGCCCTCATTTCCACAGTTAACTCCTTGGTGCTGATGGGTTTGACTGCTGAAAACAGCTATTATTCTGGGGGGATATATAAAATCATTGTGCAAAGACGCTGATGTGCCTCAAATTGCCCCCAAATGCAATCAGACCTGTAAATAAGAGATACCTGTCCTAATGTACATTAAGTAAATACCATAAATCACGTGTGGGAAGACTGCAGCTGCTCAGTGATCAATCCCTACATGTTCACCATCTTATTGTTTGAAGTTTGTGTCATTAATTGAACACCTCAGATCAATTTCTGCTGAAGGAGGTGTTTTACATATTTTTGTTTTCAATTCTGGTTCTTGAACGCTCACTGCCAGTAGCAGATTGTTTCAATGGTAAAACAGATATCAACAGCAAAGGGTTAATGCTGTCTATGCATAACTGAAACAACTCAACATAACAAAGGTTTAAAAATCCGTCTTGTGACAATCTAGCAACAAGACAGATTTTTCTCAGTTAAATATTTAACCCATGCCCAAAATGAATGCCTACTATAGAGAAGGCAGTTATTCATACCACCATTAGAATTTCCAAGCACTGACAAATTTGCAATTAAAAGAAAAGCAAGGTACAATTGCAATCAAGTACATGACTTTTTACAGAAGGCCTCATTGTGATAAATTATATACAGCATAGTGTTCTCATTTTCCTTAAAGTGCTACTATCATCATACTGATACAAGATCATCTATTGTTTTAGAAGGTCCTTTAATACAGCACCAGCACTGGCATCAGGGGACACTGGCAGTGGTGTAAAAGTAGGCAATGCATCAGAAATAGGTTTCATAAGCAGATGTCCAGAAGTACTAGCTGGTGTTATGAGAGGCACGGCTGCAGATCGAGGTGCTAAAAATGGATTTGCATCTGGTCTTCTGCCCACTGCCGAGACTGCAGAATCTGGAATGTAAAAAACAACAAAAAAACTAAACTAACAATGAAAGTACTTTGTTAGAATCTACCCAATTTTACAGTATTTGTTCACAGAAAGTTCTAAAATTGCCTATCACTTTTGCAACATGACAGTCCTTGAAAATCTCCTTGCTGTGGACTGCAAACACTCTCAAAGACTTTCAATCTCCCTGTCTTCTCTCATAGAACCATAGAATCGTTTAGGTTGGACAAGACCCTTAAGATCAAGTCCAGCTGTTAACCCAGCACTGCCGAGTCCACCACTGAAATTCCAAAACACCTCAGGCTACCCAAAAAAAAAAAAATAAAAAAATCCACATATCTCTGACAGGCAACATGAACACCCTTTGTAGTTCACTTCTCATATGCAGTGTCAGACATGAAGTATCTGTCACGCTGGCTCCAGCACTATGTAAAGGCACAGGGCCCCTGCACATGCACTACAATACAGTGCACAGGTAGGTTTCCCACCACATGGTGCACTGGCACAGCTTACCCAGGGTCAGCCCCAAGAAAACCCCCACACATAAACATCATAGACAGTGAGTCACAATTTATTGGTTCCACACAAGGAAGTTTTTTTTTTGCCAAGTAAAACAGATACTTCACCTATTATATTACTGCTATATTACAATAAAAAAAGAATTTATAAAATCAAACTTAATTTAGGTTTATTTAAATAAATAACTACAGCTTTCAAAGATAAACTGGTATTTTGGAGTAGACATTTACACTTTGTAACATCCAACTACTTTAGGTGACTTGAAAGAGGATTTTTTAGCATCTCTGTCTGTAGATATATATATGTAGGGGTTTGTTTGGTTTTTTTTTTTCATTCAAGTTTACAGTAGAAAGTTTCAAACAAAACAAGCTTCTGCAAATCAGCAGGCCTATATTAAGATGAAGTCTTAAATGCATGTAAAACAATTAACTACAAACTGGACTAGTTAAACTGAAGATGGGGATCTTAAATTACTTACACAGAAGTGCACTAGCATGCATAATATAAGCCTACGTGTTCTCTGCCTTAGGAAACTCAAAGTCAACACTCTGGCACAGCTTACAGAGATATCATACAAGGCCATACACTTAACTGATTTTATTTCGGTCCTCTCTGAACAACCAGGTTTTACAAAAAAGAGAGACACTACAAGGTTGTATTACTTGCATTCTTCACTCGCTTCGACACAAAGCTGATCAAACAGGGATGCTGGAAATCAGGAGTGGGTTCACTGACACACCATACAAAGTTGTCTGCACAGCATCTGTTTGGCTCTGACAGGTGCCGTTAAAGCCTTTTCATATCAAAGACAATTTGGTCCCTCTAATCTTCTGTATTGAGATTTTAGAAAGTGGGGTATAGAAGCAGTGGGAAGGAGAGATGGGAAAAGAATTGAAAAAAAAAAGAGAAAGTAGGAAATGGTTGTGGGAGAATAAATCAAATTCATATTTCACAAGGGAGGAAGCACAGAATCATTAAAATCCCCTTGAAAATTCTACCTTTAGTTATTTAAATTCTGTGAAAAGATTCCAATGTTACCTTGCATTTGACTCTTGGATGGAGTATTGCTAGTTTTACCAGTTCCTGCTGGTCCTAAAGGTTTCATATCATGAACAGAGAGCTTGGGCGGGGGAAGGCCTGGGCGAGATTCAGTTTCAAGGAATTTCACGAACAATTCTGAAAAAGACTGCAAGAAGCTACTGGTTACTATATTTCACTGATGCTCTGGTGAAAAGCACTAAGTCAAAAATACATACATTCATGAACTAAAAAGCTGTCAACAACCTCCAATCAATTTTGTACTGGTACTTAGTACTAAGTAATCCTTACTGAGTGACAATGAAATTTATTTTCAAAATACACAGTTTGTTCACTAAGTGGGATTTATGTAAAACTGATAAACTCTAAAGGTAATATATATATTTCCACCATGGTTCCATTATTGATTTAAGCCAATTGTTTCAAGAAATCCACACTGCTACTGACATCACAGTATTTCCATTTTCTTTGCACAACCAGTCACTTATCCAGAAACACATAAAGTCCAAACACTTCTCTTAAAGCCCATTGCATGCTTTATTTCACAGAGACTCTTGAATAAAGGAAGCATGGAATGATTAAGGTGTCAGTAGCATCGCAAGATAAAATTTTACTTAGTAAAGCCTGTACTATATGTAAAAAAGCACCAATTTTCCTCTTTTATATCTATAGTTAATCAGACCACAGTCCTCTGGCAGCCTACATGCCTGCACTATTTTACAGGGCAAAAACCAATCCCTACACTTCAAGATGATTTACAGCAATCAATTCTTAACATTCCTAGCTCAATTGAGCAAAAAACTGAAGTTAATCCAAAAACCCCAATCCCACAGTGCATTATTTATTGGTCTGCAAAATGGAAAGTTTCATAAAATGCTCCCATGGATTATGCTATGAGATCTGTTGCTTTACTGTATTTGAAAACTTAAAATATCAACTTTATATGCTGTAAGCAAGAGGCACTAGCTGCAGCAGCTGAAAAAGCTTTTCAAATTAAATTTAAAGGACATATGGGAACACAGTCATCAAAATACAATGTCTTCTATACTGTTGAGTATTGCAGAATTCCAGACTCAACATGTATTTAAGTTCCAGTACTGTTAAGTTTCCAAGATAAAGTCCATACTGTAAGGAGTCAGTGATCACAGGAACCAGTGGAACAGTAATTGTTTTCTCCATTAGCCCAAGACTTAGTATTGTAAAGATTTGCAATGTCTACATATTTACTTCGTTCAGGAAAAAACCTTTTGCCAAAGCAGCTGCACAAAACAAATAATGCAAGATACAGCAGCATCAGTAAATTAAGCTCAATACACTGACGAACCAAACATCAGCATTAATATGCAACTGCCCCATTTTTCCAATCAAAAAGAATGCACAATTAATTCTTACACTATTAAAAATGTTCTGCTGAGTTGGCCTCAAAGGTGTAGTGGGAACACTCTTTGACCCAGCTCCTCCACCAAGCCAGCCAGTCACCCATCTCGTAACTCCTCTTTGTTCTTCAGATAATAACTAGAAAAGTATTTTAAAAAAACAAAGTTAGGAAACAAAAAATATAAAGCAGTAGGTAAAAGAAGTGCAGCTCGTTATACTTATTCAATAACACTATGTGAGAATCCTACAGATACATAAAAACTAAAATAACTGTCAAAACTACATTCTCTGCCTCCCAAAGACTGGCAGTATAAAAACCTGGATCTTTATTTAAAATTATAAGCCTCACATTCTTCACAATAACTACTGGTACATATATAACTGGCTTAATTTTCTGTAACTGATATATTACAGCTATTGTACGTACCAGCACAAAAGTTAAACCCCTCCCTTTCTGCATTAGCATTCCTCATCAAAATGAGATCTACTCTATTAAAATGATGTTATCAAAAGATTCCATTAAGATCAGCATGTCCCACATGAAAAAACATGAGATAAGAAACCAAAAAAAAATACTTCCCCCCCAAGAAGTGCAGGGACAGTCACATTTAGTTTAGCAGCAAGTAATTCTATTTTCAGGTAAGGATACTACAAAGAAATAAGGAAGCCTGGTTTTCTGCAAAGTATTACCTGATCGAGTTCTTCCTTTTTTATTCCCAAGATACTTCCCATTAACCTTAACACTTCAAGACGTTTATTTTTTGGAGTATGAAAGTGTCCAATAAAGAGATTTCTCATCAGGAGCCTGCAGAACAAAGGAAGCCTGTTATACAATCTCCTGTCATGTAACAGCTGATACCATAATATTGATGCATTTATTCTTCATACTTTTGCTTAATTTGTAATAATCCAAATAAACAAATCAAATACAAAGAACTAAAAAAGTACCTCACCCACTTCCTCCTCCCACAAGTTATCACACTTCTTACACAGTACGTGTCAACTTGGACAGTATTCAGCAATACTGTAGGCAGTGAGGTGAGACCAAACGGTACATGAGCAAGCTTTGATGTACTTCTGTACCAGGGAAAATGTTTATTCTAAGATCTTGATTCAGGAGAGCAAATGACTATTTACAACCACCAAGCAATTGAAAAATGTCAAAATAATGACAGTATAATTATAAGATCACATACAAAAGTCCAGTTCTGCACTACTCTTTCAACTGTATTAGTAACATATCTGTACATTCAGAGGAATAAAACCCAAAAACTTATAGCAAATCTTTCATTAAAGACTTACTTGTCCACTTTTCCTTCTGTGCTGTTCATAAGGTTCATTAGTTTATTTTGTACATCTTCTAGCATTTCTTTTCTGATCTCACCTGTTACGTCACAGCAAATAAACAAAAATTCAAACTTTGAAACACTGTTGTGAAATTTACCAATAGCACTACACTTCTGTAATAAAATTGTTATGGTGCTTTTATGCTAATCTTGTTATGGTGCTTTTAAACAGAAAGCAAAACCATAAAATCGATTTGATTTTTTTTTAATAAAAAGCGTCGACTTAGTAAGTCATTATTATTTGAAACCATAAGCTAAAATTTTGGGAATGATAATGCTAAAGTACAGCAACACACAGAAACTAAACCCATTGCAGAAGATCTGATGAACTGCTCTGTTCTATGTAAAAAATATGGAACTGGAAAGAAACTCTTGGGCAACTGGCTAGCAGAGCAACATCAGCAACTTGTGGGTCTCTTCTGTTAGGACCTTTCCCACTCCTGTTACTGATGCAAGCTCTGAAAACAGCATGCTGGGACACACTAATGCACCCCAGAACCAGCGCTGTGCTTCACCATTCAGCATATTGGCAAGCAAGGCAGATATATGCAAGATTACCCACACTTCTGGGAACAAAGACACTTAGTTAAAAATGGGAGAGATGAAATGCCAAGTTACCATGAACCAAAGACAACTGAGAGGAAAATGGCAAACACTTTAGTCAGGCATCACGGCCTGCAAACAGAGTGAATAGGCCAGTATTAAACATTAATGAATGTGAACTTGTCTAGGAGCATGCTAGGAGTCACTGCATGCATTTTCGGTCTCCTTTTCAATGCTGAATCTAAGTTCTGATGCTGTTCTGTAGTGGCTGCAATGAAATCTGTTCATTTAGATATCACAACACTGATAATGACCTTCCTAGCCTAGACAAACACTCTATTTTTCCTCATCAGAAACATGAAACAGGAACTATTAGCAGAGTAAGAGAGAAGTTTAGATTCTGCATTCATCAGTGCTGTAATTTTTCAGCTTTCTGAAACTCCTGTCCTCTATTAAGGACCTGTCTACTGTCTACACACTTGAGCCTCATGCATCAGAGTCTTTAATAAGGGAGATACAAATGTAATAACCCATTTCTTTAAAAGGAGCCATGGCATGATATCGTTATATTCACTGTTGCCCAACAATTTCACAGCATCAACTTCTCTACAATTCTACAACTCCACTAACATAAATTACTTGTTAACTCAAATACACCCAATTACCCCAATCATATTGTGTCAGTAACTCAGGCTTCTTCTGGACTTCCCACGAAGCTCATAAAAGTAAAGCTCATAATAAAGAAAAAAATTCTCCTAAAAGTTTTATTTGCCATAAATATTTTACAGCATTCTGACTGTAAAGGAAACAAGACAAAAGATTTTCTCTTTATAAAAATGCAGATATATTAGAAACTGGGTAGAAGTATCTGTTGTTCAAGTTTGCACAGTTTGTACAAAACCCAGAGTAATTTGCTAGAAAAACTTATCTCCCTTAAATCTTCAAATGAAGGATTTAATTGGCAGTCTCAAACCATGACACAAGTTCTCAGACAAGAAAGCAAATAATTACATACAAGGTACAAAGAATTCTTAGAAGATAAACTCCAAATGGCTTCACCTCAAGACAGCAAAAATGTAATTTCTCACCAAACAAGGGTTTGGCAAGATACTACCTCTGAAGACACTGTTTTCCTAATAAAAGTACAAGTAAGCCTTATTCACACACAAAAGCTTGACAAATATAACATGGACTGTCCATGTGAAGACCAACTCTATCCTACATTTGTATAAGCTGACATGATCAACTTTTTTTCCAATAAGACTGAATGCTTATATCCAAATCCAAATGGGAAAACTGCTGATCAATTTAATTTTCCTACTATTTTAATACTTCTTGGGCTCATGTTAATTAAAATTACTTAATTAAAAACAACAACAAAAGATACTTTTATCTATCTTGTAGTTAATTTCTAAAAAGCCTCCACATCTTTGTAAGAAAAGTGACTTTTATGAATTTTTACACCCTTCAAATCATCTGGGATGCAGGAAAAACATTCCACTCTCGTTTCCACAACTTTCAATCATTAGTAAGTGCATGCCACAACTATGTTGACAGAACATGGTTCTCAATTAACACCAATAATTCCATGAGAATCCACATTGAGATTTTGTATTTATACACATCAAAGAGCCAAGCTGTGAAATGGATACAACCTAATATGCCCTGTTCAAATACTCCACATCTTTACACAAACATTTGACTTCACAAATATGAATTTTGTACAGTATAGAATAGAATGAACTAATCAGTGTCGTGCTGGGAACACACAGAGTAAGCTCCTTATTCAAAGCAAGTTAAAAACCAAAAAAAAATATATTTTATAACAATATTATCTTGTAACAACCACATCCATATGCATTGAAATCCATTCCAATAGTGTCACTGCTCTTCAGCACTCCTTTCTCAAAATACCAGGGTGAGGCACAGGAGAGTTAATCCGTGGTTTCACGGTTTAAATTTACTTAAAATTATGCTACTTTGTAAATATGCTTAAATAGGACCCAAATAATTGAAGGAAAACATTGATAATATAATTATAGAATGATATGAGTTGCAGGAGCATACATAGAAGCTGAATTATTTCGATCTCCATAGAGTAAAAGGGAATAAAAAAAGTTAAACTACTAATGCCACAAATAGATAAACAAAGAGCATTTGAAAACGAATTTCAATTAAATCTTACACTGTTGCTATTTCTCTACAAAGCAAGACCATAGTGTGTTGCTTTTTCAAGTTTTATTCACGTGATGAATTTTAAAATGAAAGTATTAATAGTTTAAATGAAATGTTACTGCTGTTTTTTATTTTTTCCTGTCAAAAAGATTTATATGAAAGAGGGTCAACTTTTAAGGACCACTACATAGCTATATTCCATCCACAGTGACTATGCAACTCTATCATTAAATGTATTTCTTAAATGAAACATTTCCTACTAAAATAGAATCTTACAGCTAAAAAGGACTTAAACACGTACTTTGGGTATATGAAAAGCCTTAGTAACAAAAAAGACCTGAGCCAAAATTCAGTATGGACTGCTGTAAACCAGACATTTACAACAGTCTCCAATAATTTGTTAACCATTTATGGCAATCCAGAAAACTGCATCTGGTACATCTTATACTTTTCCACTAAAATCACTTCTCCTGCCAAAAGAATCCATAAAGAAATCCTTCAAAAGATTTGGCCAACAAAACTGTGTCTGGGAATGTATTTGGCCAATTTTCAATAAGACATTATATGTTTTCTTGTGTAAATAGAGAAAATGAAGTGGTGTCTTTTTTTTCCCATAAAAATTATGATTTATTCTACAACAACAATAAAGTGCTGTTTCCTTTATGCAACAATCTCGTTTTAAATTTTTTTATCAAGTAAATTGCTTGGCAATACAACACAGTTTGATAAAATACTGAGGTTTAGTTTTCTCTCTGAGTTCAAACCTCTCCTGCTTTTATGTGCAAGGGTTTGCAATCAAAATTAAACAGTAATGAAGAGCTTCCCATTTAAGAGTGCCATATTTGCCTATTCCAAAGTTAATTTCAATCCAGAGTGTCTATGAATTTTTGCTGTAAATGTCTGCAGTGAGACAGATAGACAGATCAGTCAATTAAAAAATAATCAGTAGTTGTACATTCATGTAGTAGCTTGAAATTTAATTTGAACTCGGGGAGCACTCCTATGATGTCCACTTGGATGCCAGATTGCACTTAGACACTAAATTAAATTTAAGTAAGTACACATTCAAATATGTAGTGAAAAAGTCATATGTTTTTGTAGGGTTCTTGCTGGAGAAGACTTCCAAGTGATATTTCACACCAACCATCTGATTATAAGCTTCAAGAAAACATCACTTATTTCAAGAGTAAGACTAATTATAATTTAAAAATGAATAGCAATAATTAGTTGTATATGTTCAGAGCAAGAGTTACCACTGCATCCAGCTGAGATGACAGTCACATCTGTGCAAGAGCTGTTCCCTCTCTTACCAATTGCACACTCTTTATCTCACTGTATTCCTATGTCTATGTCAAATATGGTAGTTAACTACTTTGGAAGATCTGACAACATTTGGTATTCCACAGACTTGTAAAAAACACACTAACAGAGCTAAATCAAGGGGTTTGGTATTTACAGGCTTTCTTTTGAGAAAGATCCCTAACAGAAGGTAAACATACTTTTTCATATCTGCTTTATAAACAAGGAAGTCCTCAAAATGTGGCAAAGAATTACTCTTTTCCTCATAGTATATGAATTTTGGTAAGTTTCTAGGAATACTATATTGTCTCCTCAGCTGCCTGAAACGTTTTAAGCAGAAATAAATAAATGTAGTTACCTTCTTTCTTAAGCTCTTCAATCTGCTCCTCTTTGATATCAAGCTGCTCAGTAAGCCTGGATGCTGCATCCAGGGCAGCATTTGCCTCTTCTAAACTTTCCTAAATAGAGGGTAAGAAAGGGACAAAAAGAGAAGCAAGAGAGATCACCATCACAATGACATTAATACAACACACATCAAACGTAACACATGCAGAGACTTCAATCACTTGTTCTTTTGAATAACTGGATTGTAAACATCTTCTGAAAATGGATGGTCAGCAGAGGAATGGTACTTAGCTTGTTCAGTCAAGACCTAGCATTCAGTTTCTTAGGGTTCAGTTTCATTATTCAACCCACCTGCAGTGATACAACTTTTTCTTCTAGGTTTTCTGCTTTTTTCTTCCATTCTGCACTCTGTTTTTGGTGTCTCTCCAGCTCTGCTGAATACATAGCTTTTTCTTCTAAAGGGTTAAAAATACAAAATGAAACAAAAAAACCCCTTAATTAACAACATTTAACTCTTTTTAGGATATGCAATTTGCAAAACCTCAGCATTATCATATCTGGTGTTCATAAGGTAGAGGTGGAATTAACATTTTATAAATGGGATACTGATCATCAGCTTTCACAGGGCCAGAATTGTTTTTATAAGTTTTTTAAAAGACAACAGATTCTGAAATTCAGGCTACCAAGAGGAAACCAGGGAACTACTGTTGCAAAAGCATCAAAATATGTTAACTATCCCAGATGGAAAATGCTTGTTGCAATCTTTGCTATTTCTTGACAAACCTTACCCTGTTGAAACTGCTCTAGTACCATCTGCAGGTTGGCCAGAGACAGTGCATACTGCTTCACTTGGTCCTGGGAGATGGTCAGCTGCATCACAGTTTCATCTCTCTGCTTGGTAACCAGGTTTAACTGCTCTTGCAAAGATTCAACTTGCAGGTTAGCCTGATGACTTAATGAAAATAAAATACATTATTTAGGAAGGCAACAATAGAAGTTATCACAGAGGAAATTAAATCCCAGCAGAAACAGCTCCGCATGAATTTTTCAGCTCAACTTCTAAAATTGAAGGCATTTTTTCCCTGATCCCTCTTTAAAAACAAATGAACAAAAAACCTACTTAAAATCTGTTGTTAGATTGGGGGTTTTTTTGGTAAGTCTGTCAATAAGATTGTGACAATCAAAAAAACCCCACACCCAAACAACTGCTTTTGTTTGAAATGCATTAGGAAAAGAAAAAAAGTATCTGTAGATGTTGCTCCATACTAACAACGGAACATCTCATTTACCTTTCCATCATGCAGAAATATTATGAACCTGATCCCCTCCTATGCCAGTCTTTTTAGAGAGTGGCATATCAGGTTGGAAATAGGCAGTATTTCTTAAAAGGTATTTGAAAAATTTATGAAGAATTAAGTAATACTGATTTCACAAAACCATCTCCCAATACTTCCACTTTCTCCACAATTTTTCGCAATGAATTCTGCTCAACTCAGAAATCTCTTTACTGAGAAAGTTAAGAGCAGAATCCATCTTTGACACTTAAAGAAAAAAAAAGACTGCAGCTACATACATATTTTTTAATTAAAAAAACTTTTTCATTTCGACAACTGTAATAACATGAAAAAAGAATTCTTTTGCCTAAAGTAGCCAACATTTGTTTAAATAAAATAATAAAGCAGTAAAGATAAGCATTGAGTAATTTAAATACTTGGTGTTTCATTGTCCTGGCTGAAAAACATGTTTATGGCAAATAAACAAGAACACATGACTGGCTCTAGCCTCCCAGATGAGAGTTTTATTTTCTCAAGTGCTTAGAATGTTGTGGAATGGCAATTTGGCCAAACAGAGCCATCAGTCTAGCTAACTAGGATATTTAAAAGGCTACCTGGCATTTTCCACCGCAGTAGATGAGGAGACGAGTTTTTCCTCCAAAATCAAAACCTTCTTTCTTAGCTTGACCTCTCTGTCTTCTGCAGCCAAAGCTTCTCTCGTGTAGGAATCTTCCATTTCTAAAAGGTGATTTCGTAACCTCTCCAGCTCCTGATTCAGGCGCTGCTCTTTCTCATGCAGATGCTGCACCTGTGTACAACACACCTTAAGTTGCCTGTACTATCACTTTCCATAAAAATAATGTAAGCAAACATACACATGCAATGTGCTTCAATGGACGTGTGTTATCGATTTTAACACCTTTTAACTAGTGAGTGCTACTAAAAATAATGCAGAAAATACCACAGATGGAATTTCTTACTCTTTATTTCTTGCAACCGTAAATTATTTAGTGATGTACCTCACTCTGCAGGGCACTGCTCTCCATTTGCTTCTGTTTGAGTGCTACCATGACTTGGTCTCTCTCTTGCTGAAAAGTAACAGCCTTTTCCTGCATTGACTTAACTTCATTTAACAGCTGATTCAATTCTCCTGTCTTGCCCTGTTGAAGACACAAACAAACATTTCAAACATGGCCAACAGTTTTACCAAAAGAGACATCATCTTTGCTCTGAAGAGTGTAAAGACGCTACCGATCTAACAAGGAAAAGGGCAGGACATCTATGGCCTTACAACACAGAAAAACATTCAGGAAAAATATTATTTTGAAGTTATTTCATTCACATGTTACATGACAAAGTAAAAGCTGTTGCTAGGAGACACTATACAGGGCATTGCCTTAACTGACTGCTGTGAACAGATACCAGCTCTCTTAAATTAAGGGACATATATTATGTACAAAGTGTCTCAGACACCTGATACTTGAAAATTTCACTTTTCCCCCCAGTGTCTGGAATCTGTTAACTGTGATACTCATTTCTTAGGCCACGCACTAGTAAATCCTAGGTAAGTTAACTTGTCTGAACTTAAGAAGACTAAACACACAAAGAAATCTTTGAAAACAAACCATAAGGTGACCTCACTTCCAAAGATTAGCCTTCAATGAATCACAGTAATGTCCATCACATTTTCATGTGTCAACTTTCCATGAATAAAAAAATTTCCTACAAGTTTACACTAGCATATAAAGAAGTGTGACTATGTCAGTTACAGAATTCACATGTACATGTGAATGAATTTCAGTTATTCAAAACTTTTCTTTTCAGCCTGCTCCTTCACTTGGTTTCATATATTGCTTTGAAAGCAGTTATTTTTATCGAGTATGTTGGACAGAAGTAAACCAATCTTTGGTTTTATTACTCATACTTAAGCACTTCAATTATTAGCTTTTATTAGTCAAACTAAATATAGTAAAATTCTTCTTGCAGTAGAACCATGAACTTTCAGGCAAATCTTCTTTTTATGTCACGCTATCTTTTGACACATGCAGACACACAAAACACAAAACTACTTGACTATTACTTTTCCTGGTTCTGCATGGCAAACACAAAGTGTGTAACAGGAACTTCTCCGATTTGTGCAATAAAAATGTGCAGACAAACGTTCCACGCTACTGAAACCAGAAGCCTTTTCACCGGAGAGTGGAAGGGTGCAGGCCAATGACATGCAACACAAAGAACCCAGCCAGACACTGCACATTTTCATGAGTTAGAATAAAAAACCCCAAAATAGTAACACTGTCAATTTGTAAAATATTAGCGTATTTTATATGGGCAAGACTGTTGAACATAAGAAGTCTCAAAGCTATTTTTCACAATTTAACTGCACTTTTGAGACAATAAACCTTTTCATCACAATTTTACAGTATTTCCTAAGAAGCCTTTGCCATGAGCAAATGGAGCTAAACATCTGTCCTAAGTCAAACTTCTTTAAAAAAAAAAAAATCCTAGTTTTTCACATGTATTATGGCAAAGTTGAGACTTACTAAATTATAAATTTAAAAAAGACACACACTGTTAAATGTAATTCATATTTTGTTTTTCCAAATACTTTACACTGCAAATATAGCATAGCTGTTAGTTTGAAAATGCTTCAGAGATAGATGTGAGGGTGGTGAGACACCACAACAGCCCCACAACAGGGACTTTGAGCAACTTGGTCTAGTGGAAGGTGTCCCTGTCCATGGCAGGGGGATTGGAACAAGATTATCTTTAAACACCCTTCCAACTCAACCAATTCTATGACTCTATGCCTTTTTTTCTTATACTTACAGTGCAGGAGAAAAATTAATGCCAAGTTACTCAGAAAGAGTTTGTATAAATACCACTCTCTGACAATGGGTAATGCTCATAACCTTGTAAAATGAAATGGGGTTGCCAAGGACAACAGGGAGAATAAGCACAGCATGCATCGAGTCATAGAACTGTAGGACAAGACTGACAAATGGCAACCAGATCCACCATGACAAAGAGACCTGGGCAGTACAGAGGAAAGAAAAAAATTATCTGTTTAGGATTAATTACCAGAAAAAACTGCCCACTAGGCCACACTCACTTTCAGAACCTAAGAGCAAACCAAAAATATCTGCACCCTGGAGTTCTGCTGTCAAGTATTTGTCAAAAATACAGGAAGACTGTATTTGCACTGTACTTAACGCCTACTTCTCAAAGAGAAGTGCCAATTCATACATTAACTCCAGCAGCAGTTCATACAACATGGTGTAGCAATGATGCCACTTAATTTCTTGCTCTTTTAAAAAAAATTCTTCTTCAAATTACATATATGGTAATTAATAAGCCACTGCAACTTTTCTCTGAATACAAACTTTTTTCAAAGTATCAATTTTTCCATATGTCAAATTGTTGAGAAGAAACTATTAAATCAGTGTGTCCTATCTTTTTTTTTTTTAAGTGGAGTCGCCCCATTCATCTCACTGAGATGTTGTAAAGCAATCCCATTGGAATAACAAACACTAGAGGAAAGTACATTGGAAAATTAGTTGTGCTGGCTAGCTCTGCAGAAGTTTGAGCACCATAAATTCAGTAAAAAAATCACACTTCATGAATGGGGCCAAAGTAAAATATTAAGCAGCTGTTCAGTAAATAAGCAATTTCCAAATAAATGAAAAACATACTTTATGGTTGCACAATTAACAGATAACACTGTAAACCACTCACCTGCTGATTTTTATATTTTTTAATTTTGCAGAGGGAGGATTTTTGGTGAATGTAATGCAGTAAGGACTCACAAACATATTTCAGGCAAACACTTGAGGGCTACATGTACACAAAAATACATTACCGTATGACTAATTTTAAAAGATAGTCATAAATATGAATGGACATACCTGTTCCTTCTCTTTCAACAGCTTCTCAAAAGCAAGAGCTTTTTCCTTCATTGAGTGAGACTCAAACTCTTTCTCTTTCAGCATCATTGAAAATTGCATATTAGTTTCCTGAAGTGCGCGGAATTCTGTTTCTTTTTCCCTACACCTTGCAACTATGTTTTCATTTTCTTCTTTCAGTTTTCGAATATCCATTTCTAAAATTAAATTTCTTTCTTTTAGATTAGTCACAGCTTGCTTCAAAAGCTCATTTTCATTTTCTTTGTTACTAAGATTTTCACTCACAGAAAGTAACTGATCACTTTTAGATTTAATTAATATGTCTTTTTCCCTAAGTGATTTCTGCAAGACATCATGTTTTTCTTTGATCTGCCTCATCTCTGACTCAGTCCCTTCTTGACTCTTTCTTTCAATCTCTGATGCTGTAGCAACAGAATCAGATAATCGCTGATTGTTTTCCTGAAGAGTCCTAATAGTTGACTCTTTTTCTTGCAACTTTTTTTTCAGTTGTTCCAACTCATCTTGAAGGAGTTTACACTCATCACTGAGTACTTCAGGAGGACTGTATTGAACACTTGAAAGTTGTGAAATGGTGGAAGCTGCTGCCAGAGATGGTGTTACCAAATCAAGTTTACTCAGGAGAAGATCCTTGGTGTTATAAAGCTGTCCTATGCTGTGCTGAACTTGTGCTAATTCCTGACTAAAACTTTTCAGCTTTTTCTCGTTCTGTTCATAACTCTGAATCAAGCCATTATAATCTACCTGCAGCTTTGAAGTACTATCACTTTCAACTGAAATTTGTGCTTGAAGCTTGTGTAACTCTTCTTGGAGATGAGCTGACTCATGCTGCATGTTCTGAACTGTGGTTATTACTTGTTGTTTCCACTCTTCCATTTTCTTTACTTGCTGTTTTAGTTTATCACGTTCTTGTAGAAGTTCCTCAAACTGGTTACTGTTCACACCTCCTGACCCGTTATCAGCACCTGTGCTGGATGTCTGCAAGACAGTCAATAAGGTTTGGCATTTTTGACTTAGAGCATCTATTTCGATATCTTTTTCGCGAATGATACGGGATAAATTCTGAATAGTTTCTCTAGACATGTCTTGACTGCTGTTTTCAGATCTGTTAGATAACTTTTTATTCTCCTCTTGCAACCTCACCAAAGCTGCTTCTTTAGCAGCAACCATGTCCATGATGTTACGATACTCTGTTTTTAACTGACTGTTTTCTCTTGTCTTTTCACTTAGAACTGCTAATACTTGTTCTCTTTCCCTAATATAAGCTTGCAGCTGCTGCTGAAGACCAAGAACATCCTGTCTATAGGAAGCTGAGGAAACTCTAGCATTGAGAGCTTGTATTTCTAAATCCTTCTCTTGAATGATCCGAGTAAGTTTCCCAACTTCATCCTTAGACAACTGATCAATCTGCTGACTTAGAGAAACATTCTTTTCATTTAGAAGCTTAATCTCCATCTCCCTTTCTTTTATACCTTTTACCAATCTTTCAATTTCAGCTTTAGATAAGTCATGTTTTTCATTTCCATTTTCTCCATTAAGAGTCTGAACTTTGGTTTCCTGAAAAAGATCAGAAGAATCAGTCTGAATAATCTGTCTCTCTTTGTGCAACTGAGTTTTAATTTGTTCAATTGTTTTCTGCAAATTTTTAATTTCCTCATCTTTCTCTAAAAAGAGTCTTTCATGTGTGACATTCATTTGCTCACACTGAAATCTGGACTCATCTATTTCTTTTCGCTGCTCCTGCAACGACTGCTGAAGTTTCACTGTTGTTTGATTCTGATCTTCGATTGTCTTTTTGTGAACTTCTATTTCTTCTTCAAGATTATTCCTAATCATTTTTAACTGTGTTACCTCACTTTCAAGTTCAATAATAATATCTAAAGTTTTAGGCTCCACCACAGGCGTGGATCTACTTTGCTGGTCCTTAAGGCGTTCAATTTCTTCTTTCAAATGATTATTTTCTTCCTTCATGACTGCAAGACTTCTGTCTTTTTCCTCCAAGTTCTGTTTGAAGACATCCTGCTTTTTTGACACTTTCATATATTCCTCAAGTTCCTGCTTCACCTGTAAGGCTTCATTTTTGTATTTTTCAATAAATACCTCTTTCTCTTTTAAGAGATCTGTCAACTGCTTTTGCCCACCTAAGCTAGTAGTCAACATCTCTTTTGTTTCCTGATGGTCAGCTTCCATCTGCTCAATGCTACTCTTAAGTTCAGCAATCTCGAAGTCTTTCTCTTGATGGAGCTTAACCAGGCGCTCATGTTCAAGCTGCAGTGCAGTGGTATCCATACTGCGGGCATTTGTTAATTCCTCAATAGTTTGCTTATACTTATGTGCTTGTTCCAAAAGCCTCTTCTCTGTCTGGTTTAATTCGCTCTCTAACTGTCTTTTTTCCATTTTCAAAGCCTCCACAACAGTGTCTTTTTCCAAGTAAACTTTATTTTTCTCAGAAACGGCATCACTTAACTCCTGTTTTAGTTCTTCAATGGTTGCTATGAGCTTTCCATTTTCTGTTCTGAGATCAGACAGAGACTTCTCTAAGTGTTCATTTACTTGTTTATTTTCTGAAATGTCATTCTGTAATTTTGCAATTTCTACTTCTCTTTCTTTCAGAATCAGACCTTGACAAGCATAGTTAGATTCCTCATTACTTTTTTCTGTTAACTTGCTCAAGGATACATGAAGTTCCTCCTCTCTTTCTTTTAGTCTATGCTGCAACTCTCCAATTTCTTTTTTACTATGTGAATTATAGTCTTGGGCTTTCCTTAATTGTTCCTGAAGATTTTTAATATTATCTTGTAGCTGCTGCTTAGTTATATGCAAATCATTAAGTGCATATGAACATTGGCTTAGTTTTTCTTTCTGACTATCTAACTCTTTAGTAATTTTCATTTTCTCAATTTCTAATTCTGATACTTTCTTTCTTTCAGAATCAACGTCAAATTTCAGCTGTTTGATGATACTATCAGTTTCTGTGTGTTGTTTTGAGAGCTGCTCTTTCAGTGTAATCATATGCTGAAATGAACATAAACAAAAGAATTAATTAAGACAGGACAACTAGATGAACTATGCATTTCATTTTCATCCTCTAAACAATAAAAAAATTGAGAAAAACCAAAAATGTTTCTTAGTTGCCAATGTAAGTTAGCAAGTAGTATCAACTAGTCAATGCTAAGTTAACTAAAACCAAGTATCAAATACGGACAGATTACACTTCACAAAAAAAAAAATCTCCCCTAAAAGAAATCTAACCACCTGATGAAAGAAAATAAAAAAAAGACTACCTAAAAATTAAGAACTGTCAGAATTTGTCAAGGCAGTTCGAATGCAGCAAATACTCAGTGCTTAAAAAAAGGGCGGCACTACATTTAAAATAGCTGTACATTCTATTTTCAACTTCTTGTTTGAGCTTATTTTTAAACAAGATTTGCTTGGATTCATTTCACAGGAAAAACTTTAAATGTTCAATTCCATGTAGTAAACCAATCTTGAAAACAGATAGCTTGCAACTCTTAAGTTTACAGGTCAAATATATAAGAACTGTAACAAAAAAGTATAATTTAATTCTGATTACATATAATTGGTGACCTTTTTTACTCCACAAATGCTTGCATTATAAAGAACTTGTAATTCAGTAACTTAAATATTCAACATAATTAAAAACTATGAAAGGAAAAAAGTTTAAAAAAATCATTCATATAATTCAGACAGATCAGAATATTAGCAGGTTAAATTCCACCAGAAATCTTGCAATGAAAAATCAGGTACTATTTAACTGGACTTTGTAAAGTAACATCTGTTATAGATAGCTGACATGCTGTACTATTTCTTTGTCCATAACAAGGGGGTTCCTTGCACTTCAGAATTTTGCACTGAGATGGTAGATATGGAGAAACACTAGTTCCAATATTTTTTTAAGCCTCAGAGGATAACTTATTTCCCTGCTATCTATGTTCAAAGATCAACTTAAAAGATAAACTCACATAAATAAATGTTAAACATTTATTTAGCAGTTTAATAATTAGTTGCATTATTTATTACCTGAGTAGCTTCTTGATTCTGCTTATCTAGTTCTTCCAACTCCGCTATTAATGTTTCTCTTTCCGCAATGCTTTCATCTAATTCATGTTCTTTCCTTTCCAAATCTTGTCTTAACTGATTTAATTCTGAATTCTGATCCTCTGTATTCGGAGAAAGAATATTCTCATGTTTATGTTGTGCACTCATCAGTTCCTTCTCAAGTCCCTCAAGACAAAAAAAAAAATTATAAATATTAGACTTTATCTTGGTGAAATTTATGAACTGTTTTGATTTGAGATTGTTTCCTTTCCCCTCCTCAACTAAAAACAAAGCATGCATTTTCATGTTAGAATTTGTAAGCCTATATGAATACTACCCCAGTTAAAAATTCTTCATTGTGAATTATTTGTCTGTACCATTCATACATACACACTTATTTCCTCATCACTTCCTTTAGGAGTGCAGTTTATAAACTTCCGCACAAAAAGCCACGGTACGGTAAGAAATTATATCCTCCTCTGAGATATGGATTGACAGCTGGGATAATCAACTACCATATCTGCATGAGACACCCTAAATGTGGAATACTGCATGGGGAGACAGGAAGTTTTAATCAAGGGCACCTGAATAATATCATTATGAAAAACGCTATGGGAACCCCTGAATGCATGCAAAACACAGAAGACCTCAGTTGAAAGATACTTTGGATACAAAGCAAACTAAACCAAATCTCTCAAGTCTGAGAGTTTATAAAGGACCAAGTCAACCATGACAAAAATTAAGCGTGTTCCACTGCTTAACTTCATCAGCAAGACGGAATGTAGTATTATTACACTACTATATAGAAAAAGAGAGATATTTTACAACTGATAAGTGTCAAAACTGAAACATCCTAAAGCAGAAGTAGAAAATGACACATTTTACAGAATGTACTATTAATACTTTAAAAATATATGTTACAGCTGTCTAAGAAACAACGAGATACATAGAACTCTGTGGAGTTTCACAAATCAAAATGTATTCTTTCCATCAATTCCATGTGCAAATATAGAATAAAACAACAATTATTTCCTTTTACATTACAATGTTATTTATGTAGAAGTGTGAATGCTCAAAAAACTCCCATATAGTGCCAAAATACGTGTTTTCCATCAGTTACTACTGTTGGGAACTTTTCTGTTGGCCTAACTTAGAAACTGCTTTACCTGATTTAAACTGGAAAGTCTTGCTATTTCGTTTTCCGCTTCTATAAAAGAAAATGAAATAAAATACATAATTTTACTACTTTTCAAACAATGATAAAACCAAATCATTCTCCCACCTTGCCCCTACAGAACTCTGCTGCTCTGAAGAGAATTTTTTCACAGCATTTTGTGATGACATGCACAAGTGCTGTCAAATGCACCAACAGTCACTACCGCAAAGCAGCGCATTACTTTTACAACTGATTCCACATTAGGAGGACTTTGGTACTGCAGCTTATCAGTTATGCAATATTAAAGTATTTTCTACCTACATATATATTTCTTGAACTGGCACGTGACAGTGTTTCCTTAAGGAGAAGATATTAGCAACTGAGTGCCTTTATACACACAACAGAAGTACTTTCAGAATTTAAACAAACAACTGCTATTGAGGCTTACTTACTTTTAAAGAAAAAAAACCCCTACCAAACAGTTGGCAGACATGATTACTTACCCTATCAGAAACCCCTGTGATAATCATGATAGCCCTAACTACATCTCCTGCTTAGCCTTACTTCAATAGATAATGCTTTTCTAAAGCAGCAACATTTAAAAGGTACATATTCTCATATTCTGTTCCAAATTTATAAAATATTGAGTTTTAAAAGTGAAAACCTGTGAAAATATACTAAAAATAAAAAACATTAATTAAAAAATCATCATCTTAGTACCCGATAATGCTTGCTGTAGTCTGACAACATCTTGTGGTAATGATGTCTTTGACTGGAGCTTCTCCTGTTCATTCAAGAGAGCACCTTGCTCTGCCACAGATCTTTGAAGCACGCTAAACTCATATTTAAGTTTTTCATAATCTTGTGCTAGTTGAATTTTTTCTAGCTTTGCCAATTCTTGCTCTTTCAGAAGATTTTTGTTTTCTGCTTTGGCAGAAGACAATTCGTGATTTAACTCTCTTATTTCATCCTCAACCTGCAACTCTTCTGCTTTTCCTCCTTGTAGACTCTGAGCATTTCTTTTCTGTTCAGTAATTTTAGAGTCATCCATGGCATCAGTGCTCACACCATCTAAAAGGCAAAAGAGATTGTTTGCAATATTAACCAAAACCATCACTCTAGATCTTTTACTTAAGTCTCTTCTTCCACCTCTTCTCCTGACAGAGGGAAATAGCCTAAAATGAAGATATGATCATCATCAACAGAAAGTTTACTTAAATAGGTTTAACATTTGAGGCTGTGCTATACATGTTACTAGTTTGTTAAGTAGCTTCTTGAATACTTAGATATGCCTGGCTCAAAATAATTTTAAAAGGTAAGGGTTGCAAGACATATTTTGTTCACAATTTATTTAGAATATACTTGATCCCCACCTCTCTTGGTGAGGAGATGACAGAAGGTAATTTATCAGGACTTGGAATCCCTCAATTTTCTAAGAACAATTTATCAAATGCCACCTAATTCAAATTGATGCAAAATCTATTTATAATTTAATTAAATTTCAAAGGTTTGCCAAATGGTTGCTATAGAGAAAAATTTGCTACAAATGATTTGCTAAATGATGCACAAAATTTTTCCACCTGAAGAAAAACATTTTTCAGAAATAACGTTTTTACAGATCCATCATACTATCATGACATCCATATTTCTGTACAATCCTCTGTAATTTCCTAGTAAGTTAGAATGTACAAAAAGGCATCATCAAGAGTGAACAGAAAAATTAAATGAAAGCACACTGCTTGTGAATTCACTTCACTTGTCCCTGCCCCAGTCCCTATTATGATGTCAGACAGAATGAACTAAACAAAAATATAAAATACTGTACTTCCTCAAAAGCATGGGCAGTATTTATTTTGCAGATAACTGGTAATGCAATAAAAAAGGGATTTCTGCCTTTGACTTCATTAAATTAGGTCTGCTGGTGTATGTGCATGGAGTAAAAAACAATTACATCTTAACAGGCATCTGATTTTAGAAATAAATTCCTTATCAGTACTATCTTAGAAGTAAAGAGGCTGTGAGAATACTTCTCTTCTTACCAGGAAGGGAATGGATCTCTCATTCCAGGAGAGTATATACTCTTTAAGAAGTCCAAGTTTTAACAGATAATAAAGTAGAGGTTTACAAGCAAATCTTATATATTTGTGCAAAGCCCCTAGAGGAAACCTACCTGACATGAGTATTTTTAGGGAATATGAAATACCTACAAGACAACAAAAAGTTCTCTGTGGGAACTAATGAGCTTCTCCTACGTTCTAGTCCCACCACAGACTAAGGAGTGGTCCTTACAGCAATCATAGTTTGGTTTGTGTTGGAAGGGACTTTAAAGATCATCCAGTTTCAACACCTGTGTCACGGGCAGGGTTGCACCCACTAGATCAGGTTGCTCAGGGCCCTATTCAACCTGGCCTTGAGCACTTCCAGAGATGAGGCATCCTCAACTTCTCTGGGCAACCTGTTCCAGTGTCTCACTACTCAATCCTTGAGCTTTCCAAAGTAACCCAATTGGCACAGAGTACTTCTCATAAAAGTCATGTGCTGATATTTTCTTATCTTCAATTCTATATGTCTCATCCACAACTATATTCAATGTAAGTTGAAAAAAAACCTAGAAAGTGTATAATTTAGAGCACAATGACTAATATGTATAGAAAATGACCCCCCAGACTGATATATGTCAGAGATGAAATGCTATCATTCCAATGTTCATGCCAACCAGAGTGAATATAAGATGCAGGACAGGACACAAGTATCTTAAACAGGAAGTGAAATTGAAATTCAAATTCCTAAACATCGCGTATTTGATATCCACTACACTGCTACATGCATATTCAATGCACAACCAAAATTCACTCTACATGAAATGAAAAAGAAAGCATGGGGTAACAAAGACCTTGCTGCAATCGGTTCTCAAGCTCTTCAATTCGCTCTTCATATTCACTCAGTTCTTCTCTGTGTCGACGACTTATCTCTACTAACTTTTGTCTGTGTGCATCCTGCAATACTGACAGTTCATGCTGATGTTCATCTATTTCTTGACTTAAATTCTGTTTGAGCTCCTAAAAAATATCATTAGAGAAACAAAATGGCAAAATATAGGACAGCATCTTATGAAAAAACAATGTAATAAAAAGTAAGATGTTTTCCCCAGTCAAATTAAAGGATTTATTAAAAGAATCTCTCACAGGACACATCAAGTTTCTTGATTTTTGTTGATCTGGATTTTTTAAACGTTAAATGAAATTCCTTTAAAAATTATGTTTTTACAAATAGTATGCTCTACACAACAGCAAATATTAAACCAATGTACAGAGATCACAGGTGTTACAAAGAAAGTGGATACACTAGGACATATTTCCAGTAACTTTCAGGGATGACAGCAAATTCGTATTTTGCATCTTCAAAAAAGGCAAGATGTTTCTAAGAAAGGAGAAATTATTTTCTGTTTCAGTTTCATAACTCATCAACAGCTTCACAAAGTGATTTGCTCTCATAAATACCAATGTAATTTTTTCAAGCTTACATACTGTATTAAATCATACAAACACCCTTTCTCAGAGTAACTGTTTTTAAATATTGTACTGCTGACTGAAATATTGCTGTGCTATTACATGCCCACGTGCATTTTTAATCATGTAAGTGCTAGTGGTAATTAAAATATTTACAAGTCATGTGACCATATGCAAAACCATGAAGAATAAAGGCTTCAGAGAAGATGAGTTTGTCATCTTACCTTAACAATATTCTGTAGTTGGTATATTTCACTTTGTTCAGCATCATTTGTGCCTTGCACTTTTGAGGACTGAAAAAAGAAAAACCACATTTCCAAATGAAAATTATGATAAATATGTGTATTTTTCATGTAAGTGCTTCCTCTATTGATAGTCAAAAGTACAAAACAACAAAGCTAACATGAAGCAAAACCAAAATCCACAGTAATTTTGATTTTTTAAAAAAACATTATAATGGAAACATTTTAATTTTCCATGGATTTTTATTATTACATGCATATGTGTAAAAGTTTGGAGTGTGAGGTATTATTGCACGTAATAAGACAACAGGGTTGCTTAATTTTGAGTATTTCCACATGGGAAAAGCATACCTCTGAAATCAGGCTATACCTTGAAAAATGGTGATCCACATCACCAACAGCTTGAAAGATTATACTCTTTCTTGTCTCAACAGACCATAAATTAAAACTGACATATCAAGGACTGAGAGAAGAGCAAGTAAAAACAGTATGCAAGTATCCAACTATTACTTTGAACAGTACTGTGCTATCAATATAACATCAATATCATAGCCAGGAAGAAGGAAAATTTTTTTTGAAAAGTTGCACAAAAACGAAACCCTGAAGCAGCATTCTAGGCAAATGGTCATGAAACCCTTTACCTAACTTGACAAATCATGCATAAAAGCATCACAAAAAAGCATATGGAAGTTAGTCACTCAATGTGTCCCCTGTCACGTGTCAGCAAGAGGTTTCAGCTTTTCCATTGAAATATACTGCTTCTGGAAATTTTTCAGTATGAACTCTTAAAACATCCACTCCAAAACCACCAAATGCAATGGAAATGATATAACTTGGAAGGGAGAGGGAAGGGCAAAGTAGAGGAAAAACCACTCACCACTGCAATCTGCTTCCAGTGGTCAACCTCAGATTCGAGCCTTGAAACTTCATTGGACAGTCTGTTTATTTCTTGTTGTGACCAGATTATATCTCCAAAGTCCATGTCATCTCCTTCAAAACCTGAGGAATGTCTGACCCCTGGAACATAGGAAGCTGAGGCAGTAGCTGGTGGTAAAACACCAGCTCCTAACTGTGCAGTCTGAGCAGCTGTCTGTACTTTCTGCAGTTGTTCCTGTAGCACATTCTGTCTGGCTTTTAGATGGCTGATTTCCACCTGAATATACAAAATAAAATGCACTGTTTGAATAAGAAGAATATCAAAATACAGTTTACTTTACTCTTTGGGGCGTTATGAAATATAAACCAAACAACTCCCCCCCAGCACAAATTACTGATCACTTTCACAAAAAAAAAAAAAAAAGAAAAAAGAAAAGAAAAAAAAAGAACAAAAAGCCCAAACGCTCTCATAGTGGAGAAATAAAGTCTTAGCTCATGCGTTATAAAGGACACGTATATTTTTTTTAGCAGCCAAGGTACACAAGTACTATAACAAGACTCAGGCTAACAGGTTATAAAAAAATTTAAATATATAAAGAGGGTATTCAGACATGAAAGTCAGGCAATACATGACGCCTCCCCAGTTATTTTTATTACATTTTACTTCTTTTAATAACTCAGTGTATTGAAAATCTACATATTTGCAAGAGAGTGAAATTAGCTGCACGCAATTTTCTCATAAAAACTCTTTTATTGTATTTAAGAAGCAGAATTTTATACATCTCATTCTGCTTCCTTGAGCTCTCACATGCATTTATGAATAAAGCAGAAATAAAACTACATTTGTGTACCTCTAGGCATACTGGCAACTTTCTTAATTTAAAAGGCTATGAAATCTCATGTTACACAGTAGGTTATAAAGCTGGTGTTTCCATCACAGAGGGACATCTTACAAATTTGGAAAGCTAGCTCTGTTCCCTTTAATTGTGTATGTTAAGATAAATAATGATATCTACAGACAAAATAACTGCTTCAAATAAGAATTTGCTCCTGTTGCCTTCTTTAAAGGTAACTGAATCAGAAATACAAAGCAGTTGAGTGTCATTTCTCACAGCAATCCCAGAAACAACAGAAATTGTGACAGCTGCACGACATTCCCAGAGTGTTTTCTCATCTCAACTGTCTCGTGACAGCTCTGCTTACATTACATGACTCAATGAAATATATGTCTTAGTTGACATTAACAAAACAAGAAACCGTAGGTGTGACCAGTATTTCTACTGGAAGAGAAGAGATACTATAACAAAGAACTTAAACACCACAACAGATAAATATTGGACATATGTACTGAGATATTTTACTCTGTATCCTACCTCTTTCTGTTGAAGCTGATTGCGGTACTCTATAGATAACTGCTTTATTTGCAACTCTGCTGCTTCATGCTTTTCTTCTAAGTCACTACAGACTTTTCTCAGTCTATCATTCTAGCAAAAATAAGAAATTAACATTGGTAAGCTCAGCACAGTTCTTAAAGAATCAGAAAAGCACAAGGGTAATGAAGAGTAAAGAAACAAATCGTACAGATTTCTCGTGTTATTTCATTCAAAAAACACAGTAACAGCAATATCCGGGTGTGGGCCCAAAAATCAGGTTCACGTCCAAGCTTTCTGTTTTTATATGGCATGGACTCTGGCTCACTTTCAGATAAAAGTTTTGTGATGACCAGAGGTAAATGGCAAGAATAAAAAGAAAATCAGGACTGAATTACATCTTAGGAAGATTTACAGGTGGAATTTAAGAATGGCCATAAAGCACAAATTGGAGCTAATATCCAGTGTTCTCTCTCCAACAGCAGCTGGCAAGAAACTAGAAAAAGGAAAAGCAGGAACAGTTATGTCCCCAAAATACTACATTAACTTCACAGTGCTCTTGAGAACTGAAGACATAAAAGAAAGTTGTTGGTTTAGAGACATAAATAAAGCCACAAGGCCAAGTCCTGTAAGAGCGCAGAAAGCCACTTTCCACAAGGGCACATGGGATTTGTAAACAGTTTTGGAAGACCAGGAGGAGCCATGGCTATGTCAGAATGACCACAGGGTAGGGCAACACAGAGAGAGAACATCACCAGGAAACACACCCACCCTGTGCCTGAAGCTGCTGCAAAAGACACACTGCCCTGCACCAGCAGACATTCTACATCTGCTTGTACTTGTGGTCATATATGAAACTTGACCTAGAGCTAAAACGTATGAAAACTTAAAGAATTTTTGCATTTTCAAGCTTTTCAGTCTATTGTTGCAGTCCAAGTCCACATGACAGGCAGGTATAGTCAGGGATGCAATAAAAGGTGAAAACTTGCACCACATGCATACTCCAGTAAAACAATGTATCTCCCTGACTGTGATGGCAGTTTGTCACAAAGAGTCACATTCTAATATCACAATCACCCTGGTTTCTAGATTTACCCAGGGACAAGCAATTTCAGTGCAATATTTCACCTTTATACGAAACAAATGTTATGTAGTGCTTTTAATTACAATAGTGTTCCAAAGCTTCTTACTTCAAACTTTTGTGCTGCATTAATACTTTCTATTTCTCTGAGTCTAGAATTGGACACGTGGAGTTCTGTTGCTGCATCTGAAAGAAAGTGAAAATTTTCATTTTTATTAAAATCCTTTTAATCTGTTAAGTAGACAGCAGTTAAGAACAGTTATTAATACATATGTTACTTTACGCTGCTTTAATGTTCATGCCTAGGTAAACAACAAAGGTTGTTTTTATAAGAACACCGACAGAATTATTTGTCAGATAGTCTTTCCGAACCAAATTTAGTTAACTCATATCTAGGCTTTAAGTCAAATCAAAACCCTAACACATTAGAATAGATTTCAGCTTTAAAATAAGGGAAATGAAAACATTTTACTTGACTATTTTGTGTTCCTGAATCTGTTTCTCATTTACGACTTTGCCCCTGACATGACACTTGTGTGTTCCTTTGTAATATCTTGTGAAGTTTCAAAACAAGAATTAGTTCCATTAAATGCACACAGCAGTGACTAAACCTTCAGGAAAAAAAACCAACAAAACCCATAAGACTCACTTTCATTTACAAAGGTAACACATCTACCATCCCAGTTTATCCCATACAAAAAGCACATCCCTGGATACAGTTTAATGATCAACCTTCCTCAAACTATGTTAACTGATCCCATGTCCCACTTTTAATGGACAGAAATACCACATTTCATTTTACCAATGAGAAATCATCCTGAATTGACTATAAAGCAATCCTGACAATTTTTCAAATTTTGAAATAAACATAATTTCCAGGTAAATACTGAATTTCATAATTTCCTATGTGCTATTTAAAACTGATGCAACTCAAGCACTGCAGAGGCAACAATCTACCCATAAAAACTATGAAACAAAGATGTCAAAGTCTATAATGCACAAACAACGTTCTCAGTTCTCATGGTAGTCAAAGCACTGAATGTAAGGGATAATACTAAAAATTAGGGAACTTTTAGAAACTAGGAAATTACAAAAAGGAAAGTAAGGAACTATTTAAAAAGTGTTCTTTAGGCCACAAAGTACTTTAAAGTCTCTACAGATGAGTACTTGAATGCCACCACATTTTTTACACCCTCAAGTCCAGCAACCCATACAAATCTATTAATCTGAAATTTTTAGGACACCAAACTTGTTCTCAGCAGTATCTAGCAATGAAGTATACCTGGAAGTAACTACTGAGCATCAGTACATCTCTTTGCACAAACTCATGCACAAATATGTGAACTGAAATCACAATTTATCTTTTATAAAAGCAAAACAAACACGCCAGGTGACTGCGTAGTTCAGGAGCTAAGTTTCCAAACTAAACTAATATGGATTGTGAAATTTAGAACAATTCTAAGCAAGTCTTTCAGAAAAGTGAAAAAAAAAAAAGATAATTTCACATTTTTAAGAATAAATTTCTCTCTTCTGAGCGTTTTACCTGTATTACCAAAAAACTCATCCATGAGACATGTAGTATCAGCTTGCCAACAAGATTTATACAATACACACTTTCACAATATACTTTCATAATGCTTCATAGATGAGAGGTTGCAAACGAAGTAGAATTGCTTAATCACACATTTAAGAGGACTATTCAGAAGTCTTAGCTGTTCTTTGTGGTTGCTATTCTTACCATCAATTTGAGAAAGCTAGTTTTGAAAATAATTTATAGTTACAAGAAGATAAACAATACTAGGGGTATTAACCTACTGATATTTATTACATTGGGGACCCCTGGTGGCCTAGTGGTTAGCATGCGGGACTCTCACCGCTGCGACCCAGGTTCAAATCCCAGTCCCCCCGGGCAGATGGAGCCCGTTAGCCCTGTGAGGCCATCCATCTATGAGAAGGTCACTCTAAACAAACCTACGTCCTGAGGACCTCACTGCCATTGTCCAAGCTTGCTTGGCCCCGGCAGATGAACCTTAGGATTAAAGGGTGGGCTCAGTTCAGCGCAGGCTGTGTCTCACCTAAAAAATCCATTGCGCAGGCTGGAAAGGTAAAAGACCTTTCCCCAGATCTTCGTTCGCGAAGACTGGCCATTATTATTATTATTATTTATTACATTATAGAACTGCCTAAGAGAAAAAAAGTATTAAAAATTTGTAACAAAACTCATTATTAAAAATATAAGGAAAATACTATATTCTAGGCTAGATTTACTATTGCTTTACTGAATATCTTACACTGATGTCTTGGCTTTTTTGTTCTTTCTGGTTTAAACATAAATCGTTCTAGTCTCTAATCCCTATAAAACACGGGCCATGTTCTCCTACTTGGCTGTAGGAGAGTTGTAGAACCTGACAGGTTTGTCTGGGCCCAACTGAAATATAAACAAAACTACCAGAAACACTGGACCTTTGCCTGAGTGACACGTCAGACTTAGATCACACCAGTGGCAAAATAACCTCTGTACTGCTACAACTCGACAGTTTCATGAAACCAGTCAAAAAGCAGCTAATCAGCTGGGGGGGGTTAGATAAACTAAGCAAGCAGAATGGAAGAAGAGTGTTTGTCTGGGTGCTTTCATTACAGATCAACACAACACTTCACACAATTAGAAACTTCCGAATAATAAGCCTAGAACAGGTTCACTTATGCTATTACAGCCAGGGAATATGTTTGTTTATTCTCCATATCCTGAGGTCACAGGGGCAGAACAAAAACGAAAACAAAAGCAGCAAAGCCGGCAGCCCTCCTGAAAGGCACCAAGCTGGAACCAGCTCCTCCCGGCCGGCGGGTCCCAGAGGAGCCCGGCAGCCGGAGGAAAGGCTCCCTGGCGGAACCAGGCCCGCCCCGCAGCTCCGAGCCCCCCTTACCGCCCACTTCCTCGGCGCCCTCCAGCAGGATGTCCTTGGTGAAGCTGGAGATCTGCCCGGTGAGCGAGGACAGGCTGTCGCCCACCTGCCCCAGGGACTGGCCCAGCCCCGAGCCCAGCCCGCCCAGCCACGACGCCATCGCTGCTCCGAGCGCTCCGGCCCTCGGTTGGCCCCGCCGGCCGGGCCCTGCGGCCGCTTCCCGCGGGCCGAGGGGCCGCCTCCGCCTCCCTTCTCCTCGCTGGGGTGGGTCGCGGCTCTTATTGCGGGCTCAGCACACCGGGATCGGCGACTCCTCCGCCGGCGCCGCGCGCATCCTCCCGGCACAGCTCGGCTCGTCCCGTCGCGGCTCAGCGGCTCCTGCCGGCGGCTCCAGCCGCTGCCACCTCAACGGCCGCCATGACACCCCTCCTAAACACCATAGAGAGCGGCGGCTCGGACTAGAGCGCCTCCGCGGGGGCGGATATGGCGTAAGCGGCGGCGGAGGATGCCGGGACAGTGGCGGAGCGGCGGGAGGGGCCAGGAGGCGGTGGATGGTGGTGCGTCGCGATTAACGAGATTGGTGACAGCCCGTGTGATTAACGCGAACCCGCCCCTCGGGACTGACCTGGGCCCTATGCCAATAGCAAATCAGTGTCCGAGTGCTACGTGAACAGAGACAATTTGTGTTTGAATATGTGTTTTTACAAAACACACAAGTTCCTGAAGACCCCGCTGCTTCGCGTGTAAATGGAATGGATACTTGCTTGGATTTCGAGCCACAACCCCAACATTGGTCCATTACGAAGTTCTTTTTGGTTTTGATCGAATGAGGTATTTAAAATTACTTGGGACTACAAGGAGTATTCGGACTGTTACAGAAAATGCAGTATTAAATCAGTCGGAACAATAGTGATACAAAAAAATTGCCAATACTGGAAATAAAATACAGGGCAGCTGGCTCAGTGCTGTGATATAGCATGAAATGTAAACACGTATCTTTATCAGTTTTATTAATTTACAGCATTGGGTTTAATGAAGATGGAAAGTTTACAATGCTCAAAAGAGCGTGGTTCAACAAAACCCATCTGGGCCCACAAGACAGTAAAGATGTGTCATCTTTTCCAGTAGTGGTTGGCTAATTAATTTTTATGGGAAACTGTTAATATTTTTCAACTAAGATCACAGGTGTCCTTCAGACTTTTAAAATACTTAAGGATGATAAAAATGTCTTTTACTGTGGTTAATTTCACAATTAAGTACCAAGTATGGCAAGTAGACAATAAAGTAGCACACAGGCCTTTTTGTCCCACTCTTTTTAATTACTGGTCTCGAAAAATTAGAAATGGACTGTTTAGCATCACAACTAATTTTTTTAGCTGACTTCATCCACTTTTGATAAGGGTACACAGAAACAATCCAGTGTACTCTGTGGATTGACTAAGCTACAAAAACAGTGCATTTGTGTCACAAAAAGAACGTGTATTCTGGCATCAAACCAGGAAAAAGTAGCTTACTTTAAAATCAGAAAGCATATAATTTTTAAAGATGTAACGTAACTATAATGGGCACCAACTTTCTTCCCTAACAGGAGTGTCTTTACATAAATTTGAGAGTGTCAACAGATGCAAAGACATCAGAGATGATGAAATGTCAGTTACGGGCAACAGAAAACTACCTCTCTGCTGATGTGCATACACACATGTGGTGCAAAGCCCACTGATACCTGAGATGAAATTTCAATGTTTGATGATCCTGTGCCCAATCAGCATATAAGGGAAAGCAAGTATACAAATACATGAGTCAAGTGAGAAACATTAGAAGCTATAATCATATTTATTTAAAAAAGTGATATCAAATACAACCATATATATTCATGCCTATTTGGAGAGCATTTTCAAAATATCGAACAGCGCTGCCATTTTCCAGTCAAAACAATGACAAAGCATTTCCACTTTCCCTTTTTAATCTTTTCAGTATTCTATGCTTTATATACACAAAATAGACAAAAATTATACAGGAATCCAGAGCCAAGGACATGATACTGAAAACAGAGTCTTGACCAAAAAAAAAAAAAACTATTACTGAAATAAGATTTCTAAAATACACAACTATTAGGCAAGAGATGAAAAAAATTAATCCCTTACAAAATCCTCTACACTGATTTGTACACAGGGGATTTCATGTAGCAAAAAATAAAATTTTATCAATGCTTGCATGCTTTAAAGACAGTATCAAGGTTTTTCTCTCTTTTTTTTTTGCACAGTGGCATTTAAATATTACATCCCTTTCTGTTCAAACTCTTTTATAAGTCCCCTCCTGAATTCCCACAGTGGCTATACTGAGGACGGAGGGGATTAAAAGCAAAGTGTAGTTACAATTATTTGCTTTTCTTAACAAAGAAAATAAAGTGAAAGTATTTTGATTTGGTAAAAGCAGTTGAAAAGTCACATGTACTAACTTTCTGAAGAACAGTGATTGGGGAAGGAGATGACTATGGCAGGTTAAATACTACAGCATTCCCTCCATGTCTGAAATGCAAATAAGGCAAAATGTGTGTATACAGGTTAAAAAGGTTTATTGCAAAACAGCTCATGCTTTTAAGATGAAAACCTGGATATAACACAAAGCTACAACCACCTTGAAACTGAAGAACTAAATATTTGGATCTAGCAACTTTGAATGTATCGAGTAGTATTCTCACTTGAACAACTGATTCTGTGTGGGGAGGGAACAGGTATATACGTATTACTGGTTAGACTTTCTTTCCTCTTTTTTTAGGGTAATGATTTGTGAGTAACTATCAAGATTTACCAGGAGTTAAATTTGTTTTTATGCAAGACAGTAATGGCTTACTAAGTGCACAACAAAATTTTCTGTCTACGCCCTTGAAGACAGTTTCCACATCAATTTTTCTTTTCCTTGGATTCCTACTTTGATTCCTTTAAAAGTGACATGCTGGTAACATGAATTGCACAATACTATTTCTGTATAAGTCTGAGTTCTAGAGTTCTCCTATCCCATCCCCCTCTACTGGGTTTTTCAGTACAAAGCACACCATTTGGATGTTTTCATCATTATTTGAAAGAGTAATTAATTTTAGAAAATTTCACATACGTTTTAAAACTGTAACATGTTCTTGTTCATTTTTAAAAGCCTGTCAGTTTTGTAATAAAACAAAGCAGCTTGCAAATGATAGTATTTGTCTGAGATACAGAAACAGAATTGTTTACTAGACACCTGCAGAAGCCATTTTACCCCCCTACCACTTTGTAAGTCTGTAATAGAAACAATAGCCCAACATTAAAACACATCATAGATTTAAATTTGTATTGGTTATTTTTAAGCAGTCTGCAAAGTAATAAAGTATGAAAAGTAAGATGTGTACCTTGGCTGAAAATTAAATTTAAACTTGCTGAAGTTCTCTGAAGGGTATCGGGAGCCCAAATGTTGGAGTAAGCAAGTCAGATATTAGATTAGTTTCAAGTCTAGAAAAATGTAAGCATTTAAGCAACTCATATTCATACCTGCTGTGCCTAACAAGAATTGCATGCAAGCATGACTGCATTACAACTCTTTCTCCTCCTGCCCTCATAAGACCGTGAAAGCAGTTTATAGAATTACACTTACAGAACTAATTCTGGAACATATTTAACGTAAGTATTACTCATTCCCCCTGATTTCTACTGTCAGCAAACCATAAATTATGTCACATGGACCCTTTACTGCAAAACAGTAAAACTGTTGGATGAATGAAGCCTGAAATTCCCTCAAATATTATATCATAATTAAAAAAAAAAATCTATGTCTGCTCCCTTAGAATGGACTTTGGCCTAAAGCTATAACGTGGGAAAAAACCCCAACCCTTCAACATGACAGAGTAGATAACACTGGGAGTAGGCTCTAAATTAGTAAACATAAGCATAGTTAAGCCACAGTGAGAACTGTTTATCACTGAAAGAATGCACACCAAAAAATGACATCACTGTTTTATTGACCGCTTCTTGGCAGGTGAAGTTGAGGCCTGAGTTATAAAATATGTACTGTCAGCAATTACTATTATTCTTTTCCTTGTGCAATGGAGAGGCACAGAGGAGATCTTGTCACTCTCTACAACTCCTGGAAGGAGGCTGTAGTGAGATGGTTGCAGTCTTATCTCCCACGTTACAAGTGACAACTTGAGAGGAAAGAGCCTCAAGCTGCACCAGTGGCGGTTTAGTTTGGGTATCAGGAAATATTTCTTCACTGAAAGGGTTGTCCAGCATTGGAACAGGCTGCACAAGTAAGTGGTTCAGCCCCCATTCCTGGAGCTTTTTAGAAGAGGTGTGGATGTGGTACTTAGGGACATTAAGTTTAGTGGAGGACTTGGCAGTGCTGGGTTAATGGTTGGTCTCTTGCAGGTCTTTTCCAGTGACAGGACTCAGAATTAACAGATGAGCTTAAACTGCTCTCTCAACTGCTTGACTAGACAGATATGCCTTCATCATTAAACTTGACATTCCGCTGAAAATCAAACTGGTATTTGTTGAATGACAATATTTCTACACAGAAAGGAATGTCATCAGCCCTGTAATGACTCTCTCAGTTGCGCTTTTCAGGCATCGTTACTTTATATTCCTTCCATATTAAAAGATTTGGGTGATGAAGTGACTTACAATGTGACATTAAAGTTCAAAGGCAAACCTCCATGTTTCAGAGATTATAAAAACATGTATTCAGCCTGGGTTACAGTTAATGCCATTCAAGGGGCTTAGATTTTTTTTTTAATCCAGGGCTGCTAGAGTTATAGAAATATTACATTTTTATTATATTCTTATAATAGAGGATAAAAGGTCCAAGGTCCAAGTATTGGCATCAGATTGCCAGTCTATACCTATTTATAAAAATTAGTCTTATTTCAGAATCAGTTTATGGCACAACAAAAAAAGGGAAATTAAAGCCGCAATTAATGTACAGATGAGCAAAGAAATAATTCAGTGCTTTAGAGATACCTTTCCTGCTTTCAGTTTAATAGAAATTTTAAACTGAAAGCAGAAAAGTATATCCTGAAAAATACAGCATTTCAAAATGGCATATGCATACATGTACTTTTAAAGCCATTGTTTAACTATATTAATTTGAGACATTACAAATAATTATAATGCGTATAATAGAATTATTTTAAAAAGACAAAAATCAGTTTTTTAAAAGTCTCATGTCAAAATCCATATTGTCTTACACATACCTGATTCTGGTGACATTGGTGAAAATTCAGCACATACGTAAGGAAAACAGAATTTAGCCCAGTTATGTATAATATAATAATAGCCTAAGCTATCAGGAAACCATTGCTGTAAACAAATCTTTACTGAGAGGTAAGAGCCCTTTCATGTACAGTACTACTTGATGCTGAATGTATATTTCCATCTAGCTACTATTCATTTCATACTAATTTTAATTAAATGTTACTTTTGTGCAAT